TTTTTTTTTAAATATTTGTATAAAATATTATAAATCACAATAATTATTTACTTAAATATTCAAAAGATATAAAAATATGTAAAAGATCTGATTAACTCTTCAAATTTTATCGGTGACACATAAATTGGACAAATGAAATAATATATATTATTTGAAAATTTCTTAGAAAGTACTATAAATTGCAGTAATTAACAGCTTGAAATATTTCAAATACAAAAAAAATTGATTGAATCTCAAATTTTTTTTTAGTACTACATAAATTGAAAAAGAAGAAATGACCTCTATTAATTTGAAAATGACGTAAAAGTATTACAAATCATACAATAAGAATTAACAATTTAAAATTTTAAAAGACTTTAATGCTTTATACTTATTCTATTACCACTTTGGACAAAAATATCCTCCCAATATGCATATTTTTTTAAACAAAAAGTGGGACCCATTATTGATGTATTCAAGGATGTCTTTGGTTAATTTTCCTACGATGAATTTCGTTTTTGTTTTGTTTGTTTAATTTTTTTAAAATAATTGTATAAAATATTATAAATCACAACAATTATTTACTTAAATATTCAAAAGTTATAAAAATATATAAAAGATCTGATTAACTCTTCAAATTTTATCGGTGACACATAAATTGGACAAAAGATAAAAGAAGAAGAGTAATTATTACCGTTATATATAAGTCAACAAGAAAAGGATTAAGTTCTTAATTGTACAACATGTTTTGTGAGATGTACTGCTAATTAAGTGTACTATAAAGTGGGGCCTTTCTTTATCCTTTAAATATTAAACGTGTGTATTACTCTTTCATTAACACTTGTCCGGGTAATTTTCTCTTCATCAGATAAATTCATTTCTCTTCCTTCTCTCATTCATAAATAAAAATAAATAAATTGATTCATCTTCCTATCGGTAATATTTTTCCTCCATCATCTAACTAAATTTTTTAGATGAATGATGGTTGTATATAATTTTTTACATGATTTCTCTCTATAAAATTATACAATTTTCTTCTTAAAGATTCTCAAATCTCATCCGTTCTTTTTCTGATATTGAGGAATTTGTCGTTCAAATTGCGAGTTATTTATATTTTTGAGGTTTTAAAGCAATTTTCTTTATTATTGAACTTTTATTGTCTGTAAGCGTCATTTGTTTTTTGGGTCATTTCCTATTGGATTTGAATATGCATGTACTAATTTTTCTGTTATACTTATTCATGTTTGGATTTAGGTAGTGAGATGCAATCTTATGGATGATTTTGAGTACAAACTCAAAGATAATGGACTATTGTAGGCATTTTCTCCTCCATTTTCTCTTCAGGTTAAGAGTTGGTGCAACAAAGGTGTTTGATGGTATGCTTGAACCAAATAGAAGATTTTTCTTACAGCTTTTCTACAATATATTTCTCTGTCAATTCTGAAGATTTTGGTTCAGTATGGACTTTCTTTGGCTTCTGATGGTGAGTCTAAGTTGTTATGATTGAAGTTAAACGAAGATTATTATTGCACTTTTTGGTGCTTTAGTGATTGATTGGAAAAACATTGGCATATTTGATGAGAGAAGAGGAAAAAGTAGAGACGTCGCCCTTGACAGTGTTTGCTTCGTTCCCCACATAGGAGGGCGATGATGAGTCCAATATGTCTACCAATCAACTGCTTTTGTTATGAAAAATACAGGGATCACCTGCTCAAATTTACTGATAATGAGTCAAGGTATGTATAGATTTTAAAATGAATTTTATTATATGCTATGCGTCTATGTTGTTTGAGCTCTTCAAAGATGCCATTAGGTGTGTGTGGGGTTCTCCAAAAGTAGAGTATTTTTAGAGAATTCAACATCCATAGTGCATCAAAAGTGAAGAGTCTATAAGCAACTTAGCTATGCACAACTCTATAAGAGGCTATTAACTTCTGTTCTTATGAAAATACAGGGAATATTTGCTTGAGTTTATTGGTAGTTTTTAGAATATTTTCTCTTCCCCTAACTAAAAGTCCATTACAACTACCTAATCTTTTCCATGGCAGTCATATGTTCTTTACTTTGATAAATGACATACCATTGTGAAATGAGAATGTTGATAGATTACTATTTGAAAGTGAATATAATTAGGCAAGTTATTTTTCGAATTTTAGTCTTTAGACTGATCAAACATCTCTGATTGATTTCTTTATACTGATATATTTACAACTAATTTGTAGCTCTGATTTAATTTTTATGTTTTAGTCGAACATTTGCAATGACAACGTAATAGATGGAGCTGACCATGTGTTAATCAAGTTAGGTCAAAATCACAACTTAAGAAACTCAAGAAGTCCTACAATCTCCAAAAGTAATGTCATTATATGTTTTTTCTATTGAAATCCTCACGAATCGTTGATAATAACAGAATCGTCTCTGTCATCAACATGAAGTTTATATGACTTTTGAATTACCAAACGAGTTTGGCATAGTCAAAAAGTATTGTATTAGATAACTTATCTTTGATCTGTTGTAAACGAGCATGTTATATATTAGAAGATGACATGATGTATTTATTTGCAGGAACAAATACTTAACATGAATCAATCGAAGAAGCTTTTTGTTCATTCTTCCAAGTTGTAATGATTTTTTAGTACTGATATGATATTTGTCATTAGTCCATATTAAATTTAACCATTTGAACCGCATTTTACTTAGGTGTACGGTATAATTTTCCAGCGAAGGGTGTTCAATCTAAGTTGTACGGACTCTTCACGTTTGATGCCGCACCCGTGTTGGATTCGCCAAAAATACCCATTCAAATAGGATTTTGGAGAAAGAAAGGTTTATATAACGGGTATTGAAAAAGGTTTTATACCAAGTTTTCATTGTAATAAGAAAAATATTTTGTTGAATAAACTGTTTTCTTGTTGAGAAAAAAATTATTGCCGAGAGTGTACTATCAAATCATGAGTGATGACTGGGCAGGTAATTGCGTTCTTATGATATTAGGTTTGTATGCTATTGATAGTTATAGAAAGCATCGGAAGGAGCAGAATGTCAAGAAGGAGGAGCAGAATGTCAAGTTGAAAGTATTAAGAGAGGTAAATCAACAACGTGAAGATCACATTTTGGCAGAAAGGGAAAGTTGTTTCCCCTCCATCCATATATGCACGTTTGGAAGAGGAAGAGAAGGCGCTTAGTCCTGGAAGAGAAGAGGAAGGAAATAACTAGCTGTCTCAGTTTAGTAATGTTTTAAGATTAGTCAATTTTTATATATAAGTTTTTCTTTTAGTCTTTTTTAATCAATTGCGTAGTAATTTATGTTCGATTCAATAATTGATTTAGGTTACGATTCAAATTCTAAGTTGGGAAAATGCATAAGTACCCCCCCAACCTATGCCCAAAATCCCTGAGACACACCTAACCTTTACTAAGGTCCTATTACCCCCCTGAACTTATTTTTTAGTTAATTGTTTACCACTTTTCGGCCTACGTGGTTGAGTCCGTGATTTCACCTCGGTTAAGCGCGTGGGTGCAACTTTTAGACAACACTGACCAATAAAAATTGGTCATGTGTTAAAATAAACTTGGAAAAAATAAATATTAACTCAATTGTCTTCTTCTTTATTATTGTTCTTCACTAGTATACGTACCCGCGCGTTGCGCGGCTATATATTAATTTAGAATTATTTTAATTTAATAAAATATCAAATACTTCAAATATTTTTATATATTGTCCTTTATTACTTTTATGTTGTATTAATAAATTAATATTTTTCATATTAAAAAATTAATATTTAATTTTTTTTCACATGAAATGTAAAATATCATAAGATTAAATGACATGTTAGTATATTTTGAATATTTATTTTTCGAATCCAAAACATTCTTTACATTCTGAAATTTGCGTCAAACTATAATAGAAAAATGATTTAATATAGAGTGGATATAAATAATGTAATAATAATACATGTACTTGCTATATACATTTTCTTATTAATCATTGAAAATAATTAATTAATCAGTTTGTTATATTATTTTTTAAAACATTAATTTAATCTCTTAAACTTTCGCAGAAGAAAATAATAATTTAAATTTTAATCAATGATTAGATGTCGAGGAACTTATCAATTTTTCTAGTATTCTAATATAGTAATTATTGCGTAAATTCCTGTTATGACTATTATAAAATTTATCATAATTTTTAATACTTATTATTTTAATACAACGTGTAATCTTTACTTATTATTTTCTTCCCATTGTTATTTTTGTTTAATTATATTACAAATAATACAAACAACAATTTCTTTTTTTATTAATGTAAAGATAATTTAATATAACGTAAATTCCCATCTTCTTAGCACTGCCAATTGACAAAACTAATTAAGAAAATTGATATTAAACCTAATTCAATAATCACTCTAATAAGAAAAAGTACTAGGCCAGACACAATTTCAACAGGACTAGATCAATATTTTCATTTATAAATACTAATTTCAAAGGGCGATTCCAAATTCTATAACAAAACGTTTAATGAAAAGTAAAACTTTCAAATGTCAAATGTAAAATTTGATCTATAAGTTTATGTTTTGTATTTTTTTTATTTTGAATTTTGTAAAAAAAACAAAAAGATTCATACTCAATGTGAATATGGAATATCCAATTTTCATGTAAAATGTAATTTCAACTTCAAATAAATGAATGTTTGATATAATATCTAAATGTGTCCTTAAATTTAAGGTTGTGCAAAAATCTAAATCCATATATAATAATAAAGTTGAATATGAAAACGGTGAGGTGACGCTCTCTAAGGGCTTCAATCCTATTTATCTCTTTTTGTGGGTTTTTTGGCCTTTTTTTAATTTTAAAATACAAAAAAAATCGCCTACAAATTTAAATAACATTAAAGATAATCATATTTAATTATATTTTCTTAATTAGCCATATTTAATTTATTTTGTCATGAATGTTATTATTCTCTTTTCCTATAATATTTATTAATTTCTCATCAATTATTACAAACCTTTTCATTTGATTTAAAAAGAATTCCAACAAATTATTCACGAAAGTTAAATTTTATGGGTTTTATCTATTTATTTTATAGTCTTTTCCTTTTTTTGTTCTTTATTTTACTTCTTTTTATTATTTATTCAATTCAAGAAATTTATATATTTGTCCTCTATAAAGATCTTAATCTGAATCACATCTTAATCTTAATCAGTTATAGCTGTTACCTGTTTCAAATAATGGTGATTTGGAATTATTGAAAAGAAAGAGTTTAAAAGTCAATTTAGAAAGAGTCAGCATAACTTAGATATTTTTTTGTCTGTTTCTTTTTCTAATGACGTAATTATTTCTGCTCTATTATTTTTTACCAAAATTGTATTCAAACAAACAAACAACTTTTAAGTAAAAAAGAAAAAAAAAATCCCTAATAATTGATGGAGGTATATATTTTCATTTTGCATAATATTTTTTTTAACGGGGTCAAAAATTAAACACCAGCCATACAAAAGTCAACTTCACGTAAATTTCTGACAATTAGTTGATCATAATAAGTTGAATAAATCCAATGTAGACACCGTATACGAATACGTATTTCACCAAAAATAGAACAACACTACTGCATGGATGATGCAACTATACGGCAGATGCATGTATTCTTCAATATGTATGTATATCTAGCTGTTTGCGATAAATTTCAATGTGACAGAAAGTAGTTTGGGTACAATTATGTTCCTCCTTTGATCCTTGATTCTCTTTCATAACATTTATCAGGGCCGTTAGTAACACATTTCTCAAATTAGGATGATTTGGATTTGATCACTTTATGAATATTAAGTTAATTTGTGGAATATTTGAGATTCAAGATGATATATACCCTTTAATCTTTGTTTAGACATAAGTTAGGGTTTATGCATGGTTAATAGCCTCCAAGAATTCTAACTAAAATTGAACACGTCTTATAGAATACCACAAATTTTCAATGTCTAGGTTTAACAATTATTTATTTGTTCAAATTGGAAAAGCTAAAAAACTATATATATATATATATATATATATATATAAACATAATTCCATGAAATCACAATCCGCTCAATTCACTTTGGTTTGAACTGATTAATGACTCACTTATTAATTAGCTCATATTATTACAATCAATCAAAAATCGGCAAATATCTAACCCAAATTAATCTATGAGAGATCTTGTAAGATATTTCCAGAAAGACATTTTTTCTATTTGATATGTTATACATAATTAGCCATAATGAAGAAAAATAATAATTTTATTAAATACTAAAAAATTATGGAAAAACAAATAAAACATAGTAAGAAATGAAAGGGTTGAGTTTTGACCTGCCTTCTAGATAATTTCACAAAAGTAACTTTTGAACAGAGTAATATTCCGCTTACTTATTAACTCAATTCATATTGATCCATTCAAATTCAGCTTAGTTGTCACCGCTATATATAGTTATTTGATAAGAGCCTAAAAGAAGAAAGGGACACTTGCCATAAAAAAAATGATATCAACTATTTCAAAGAAGACTATCAAACCTTCTTCTCCTACCCCATTGTAACATCGTGTAAGTTAATATAACTATGAAGAAGCTGGAAATTGGAAATAGTCATTTTTGGAAAGAGTTTAAAAATCTGGAAATTTGTTTAAGTATGGGAAAAAGTGAGTTTTTGGCCAACTTTGAACAGTCATAACTCCTAGCTCAGGATGAGTTAGGTGTAGTTCCAGTTATTTTTGCGAAGCTCGTGGAATGATCTTTCCAACTCCGCCGATTTTTATCGATTCTGAGTTTGTATGAGTGAGTTATGCCCTTTGGAAGTTGGGCAGTTGGCAGGGAAGTCAGTCCGAAAATTTTAAGGGTATTTTGGTCTTTTCCCTAACCAATTCTTTTGGTTATATTAATGTGTTAGACTGATTTTAGATCAGTTTTTCCCTTTTTAAAAGAGTGAGAGTGAGGGTTTGTGAGTGAAGAGGAGAAGAAGAGGAGAAATAGAAGAACAAGCAAGGATTTCGTCGTGGTTTTCGTCAGGGGTGATCCCTATTCAGGTATGTGAGATCATAGTGTTGGGTTGGTTCTTTCCCCCACACGTCAAGCTCGTTTAATTTCGAGAAAAGATTGATTATGTTTGTTGAAGTTGTTGGTTGTATTTGTTGAAGTTGTTGGTTGTGATTGTGTTGAAGT